GAACTAGCCTTTGCCGTAATGTGTTTTGGGGTTTGAAAGCTACTGGGACATCATGTTTAGAAAATAAACGTCTCATATACAATATGACATATACAATTTTTTTCTTTTTGATTTTTTACCTGGATTACTAAGATGCATCAGGACTTCCCTAAGACTTCAAACTTGCAGTTATGGCTGGTGTCTGAGCTGCACTTCAAACTGCTGGACCACAGGGACCACCCATATTGATTTTATGAACACATTCGATTTTAAATGTTGTCTTTAGCAGTGTTAGAGGTGTTAGCAAAAGTTAGCGTCAGAAACCAGGATGATGTCATTATCTAGCGACAAACATCAACAATGGCTACCGTTAGCCACTGCTAACGCTTACATTTAGATTTAGAACTTAATATTTAAATATGTATTTTTTTACATTTAAATTTTACATGCAGTAAAATTAGCTAAATGTAAAGATGGTGAGCTAAAAAACAGTAAAATGTTAGTGGAAATTTTGTAACATTTCATTTTTCACTTGGTGCCCTGTAGCTTCCTGTGATAAAATAAAGAGGGAGAAGCTCTAAAAATATCTGAGAACTGGGAAGAAAAAAGCCCAAAGCAATGAGAAAACGTTAATCATAATAATACAGAAAGCCATTTTAGATCCACCCTTTAATCTAGTGTCTGGGCTGCTCTGAGGGAGGCTCCATGTCAGCYCTGCCAGCGCTGATTTCAGCTTCTTTAGAGAAAACTAAAATCAAGCAGCAGAGAGAGGATGTTTCAGCAGAGAGCAGAGAAAACACAGGTCTTTTTCCGGGAATTAGGATGCTTGAGCTTGTTTTCTGTTTTTGCTCGCTTTGTCTTCACTTCATATGTCTGCATTTAGAAACTGTTGAAAAACTGGAACGTACAATACAATAAAACAGATCCACGCTTATTAAAACGCCTGTGATGTTGAAGATATTTATAACAAACCAGTTACTGCAAGTCTGTGTTTAGGTTTTATTATTTTCCATGTCTGGATAAATATGTAAAGGAACCCAAAAAAACAGCGCATGGATAAACAAAAGTGTTTCCAGACTTMTTTTGCTATTGCATTTTCTAAATAATTCATTTAATTTGTTTTTAAATTGCTTGGACAGCCAAAGGAATTTTCACATTTCTTTGCACTTGGTCGTCTTGATGTTCGTTTTTGGTTCATGACCACATCAAGCTCTGAGGTTTTGGCCAAAAACATCTTTGTCTTTGAGTTTCTGATTGGGAACTTTTAGACCACATGTGGGCAACATAAAGGCCTGTGGGCCAGAAGTGGCCATTGGACAACACCATTCAGACTTTCTGTGTTCTTAAAGGAGGCATATCAAGCAAAATCCACATTTTTAGCTATTAAATGCATTTTGTTGTATACTTAGAGTCTCTAAGAATGCATAAATGTTTAGTTGTCATTTCAGAGTGGTCTTTTATTGTGGCCAGCCTTAGGCACATCTGTGTAATAATCATGCTGTCTAATCAGCCTCTTGATATGCCACACCTGAGAGGTGGGTTGGATTATCTCTGCAAAGGAGAAGTGCCCCCAACGCAGATTTACACAAATTTCTGAACATTTGAAGGAAGAAGGTCTGTTGTGTTCATAGAAAAAAGTCTTATATCTTTGAGTTTAGCTGATGATAAATGGAAGCAAAAAAAGTACTGTGTTTATATTTTTGTTCAGTAAGGAGGAATTCAGAGCAAAGCATTTTAGTTCCACTTTATAAAGACCCCAACTGAATTATTTAAATGTGAAAAAGAAGGATTTAAAAGCATGATATGACTCCAATAAATTAAATTACATGAAAACAAAATCATTTTAAAATGTCAGTGAAAGCTGGGTTTCACTGACATATTAAAATAAAAACTAGAGGTTACTGAAAGCAAATTTGAAATGAAACATTCTTGACAATATAATGCAGTAGAATTTAGTTCTACAAAAATGTTCCCAAACCAGACTAAACAGAAATGATTCAAACAGCAAAAATATATCTCCAATTAGCTTATAACAGATGTTATCTCACAAAAGCCAGTTTACAGAAAATTTGCCTGATATTTTACGAGAAAATTGAGGAAACTTTTTAAAATTGTTTTATAATTTTATTTTATTTTTTTATTTTACAGTTAACCAGGCAAATCCCACYGAGATCTGTGCCGCCACACAAGCACGAGTGGTAAACTCCATACAGAAAGACCCCAGGTCCGAACCAGGGATCAAACCCAGGACCTTCTTGCTGTGAGGCAACAGTGTTAACCACTGAGCCATCGTGCTGCCTGAGCCAATAAATATACAACAGCTTTACCAATCAAGACAAATCCTGAAAATGTCTTCCAACTCTTGGATGGAAKAAAACTATTTCCAGTTTGATGAGCAGCCTTTTGATTGTTTTATTAAGTCTGTATTGATCTCTGCAAACCAAAGTAGTTCCAATACTGTCTTACATATAATTAGGTATAAAGTATTCAACTTTAATTTCAAGTTGACTAGTGGAGCTTTGTATATTTTCACAGGATATTAGATATTTTATTGTCGTAAAAAGCTCGAGTCCACAAACATTTGAAACTTTCAAAATGGAGTTTTATAGAATCCCCAGCAGACATTTGATCACAGAACATTTGTGGCTGTCTGAAGTTTCCATCCTGGAAACAATCTGACTACTGAACATGTTCAGAGTCACTTCCAGGTAGCTTATCTCTTCCTGGTCCTGTTGCTGTTTCTATGAATCCTGCTGCACAGTTTGACCTATAACAGAAGCACATGGCTGTTGACWGTGGCAGTTTCCAGGTGGGCTGTCTGCAACAGACCAGGTGTTGGGTTTCCTCATCTCGCATAGACAGGTTTTTCCTCTTTTCATTTATTCTCATGACAAAGCACTGCAGGCAACTGAGATCTTTCGATAAACAACAGATAAGCCTTGTGAAAACATGAGCAAATAATATTGGATTTAAAGAAACAAGAACAAACTGCACAAGCATGACTCTTCCTCGCTGAAGACGTCAAATGAGGATTCACATATCCAGTGAGTCATGCTGTTTTTAAATCTTCCTGCAGGTGAGCGGCCTCCCCACGCCTGACCTYATCTGGCAGCTGAATGGGCAGACCATTGGGCCCGATTCTGCCCACAAGATGCTGGTGCGGGAGAACGGCGTGCACTCGCTGGTCATCGAGCCTGTGACGAGCCATGACGCAGGTATCTACACCTGCATCGCCAGCAACCGAGCCGGCCAGAACTCCTTCAACCTGGAGCTCATTGTTGCAGGTAAACAAAAAGCTTAATGCAGCAAAGCTCATGTTTGATTGCTGGGTTGCAGTCAGGTGATGACGTGCAAAATTCAGGTGGGGGGGGCAGGTCCTGTTCAAAACACAGCAAAATGGTTCACAGCGAGTWCACTAATACCCCAAATGGGCTGGCTCAGATGAGATATCATGAACAAAATGTGTACATTTAGGATCTGATCCATTGTCATAATAATAAAGACTTGTCATATAATCTGGAGGATTTACTGGCGTCGAGGTGATCGACATTAACTCTCAGGTGCAGACATCSTATTTTACGACGAGCCAGATGAAAGCTTTCAAAAACCTCGAAGCTGCAATTATTTTGTTTYAGGTTGAGTCRAACATTTAGGATCCAAAAAAGCTTTAAGTGTCGGACTTGTTTTTGCCTAGGTGAGTAGTGAGTTGTACTATTTTAAGTACCGCATTTATTCATGTATAATTCGACCTTGAGTATAATTTGATCATAATTTTTGATCTTAAAAAGCATAAAAAAATCTAATCATCAATAACCTGTGTATACCCCACCGCCACCCCACTTTATGTATGATTTTTAGGGTTAAATTTCTAGTATTATACATGAATAAATACTGTAATTATCCTATAACAATGCTAACGCCAACAATGAGTTAACTCCTGTTATTTCTATGGGCTTGGATCTACTTGTAAATAATTTATTTAGCCTCTTTAAACCTAAATTTGAGTAATTGTCCAATAAAATATCTGAAAATATGATTAAACGATACAATACTTACCTGTTAGAAAGTGGTCGCTGTAAACTCTTGCATTGTTCATTTCCACACCTCCTGTTTTTAGCCATAGATTGTTGACCCACTTTGGTCGTTTTTTTCRGACACACTATTTTCGGAACACAAAAATAACTTGCAACAACCGTACACAGCACAGAATTTAGGCATTTTGACACTGAACCAAYAGAAGGAAACTGGGCTGCATTTACTTCCTGTGACATTGATACGTCATCATCACAGCACGACGGCTCAGTGGTCACCGACRCCCCACAGCAAGAAGGGTTCAATCTCCRGTTCGGACCTGGGGTCTCAGAGTTTGCATGTTCTCCTCGTGCTTGCGTGGGTTTTTTCCGGGTACTCCGGTTTCCCCCGCCCCGCAAAACATGTACAATAGGTTGCCTTCAGGCCCAGGCTGCCCTTGAAAAAGAGATCTAAGATCTCAATGGGACTTGCCTGGTAAAATAACGGTAAATAAAATCAACAACACAGCAATTCTCACGATGCAATTCAGTCACAAAATGTCTCCTCCCCCTTTCAGCTAAAGAGATGCACAAAGCCCCTTCATTCATCGAAAAGCTTCAGAACACAAGCGTCGCTGAGGGGCATCCTGTGCGACTGGAGTGCCGGGTGGCAGGGGTTCCCCACCCACAGATCTTCTGGAAGAGGGAGAATGAATCATTCACACACAACACAGACAGAATCAGGTACGTAAATCTGCTTTTTTCGGGCTTTCCTTCAACCATATCCAAACATCTGATAGTTAAATAGTAAACCTTCTTTCCCAGCATGCACCAGGACAACTGCGGCTACCTGTGTATGATAATCCAACCGGCTCTGAAGGAAGATGCCGGCTGGTACACCGTCTCTGCCAGGAACGACGCGGGCATCATATCCAGCACCGCTCGCCTTGACGTTCACGGTACGTTTCCAAACTGTGGATCAAACAGTTCCTGCGTGTCGTTTCCTGACGCCCTGCGGAGACCTTCATCGTTTCTATCTCTTCTGTCCTCAGCTCACTGGCAACAGCCGAACCTCCCCAAACCCAAGAAGGTGCGTCCCTCCACCAGTCGCTACGCCGCGCTGACAGAGAGAGGGCTAGACGTGAAGGCGGCCTTCTTTCCTGACTCCAGCCCGCTGCAGCCCGGCGGCCTGGTGGAAAGTGACGACCTGTAAGAGACGCAAAGAAGACCCCCCCCTCCCCCCCAAGAGCTGCCAGCACACCTGAGACACACACTTAACAAAACAAGGATAGACAGAATAAAACCCTGTCTACCACTACTGAACCACGGATACAAAAAGCAAAGGGTCGGTGGGTCAAAGGCAATGAAGCAGCTCTGGTTTTTATACATTATAAACTCCCTCTTCTCCCCCGCCGTTATACAAGAAAACTTCTGGAAAACGATCGAGGCGCTTACAACAAGCAAAGACTTGAAATATAAACTGCTGCAAAGACAAAACGATGCAACTTAGACTCACTATGCATGTTCAAGTGGTGCCATTTTCACAAACATCACTTGTATCAGTAGGTAGCACTTTTCCCTAGGACGTGTAGAGGACGACGACGTATCGGACCAGAAAGTAAGAGAACGAAGCTTGCTACTGGAAAACCTTTAGTAGAAAAGAGAAATTTGTTGAAAAGGCTGTCTCTGAGCTGAAGTTAAGGAAAGTTTCTGACAGGAAGTGAAAAAGCAGGTTGATTAAGAATTGATAAACAGAAGAAAGTTAGTGCTATTGGCTCAGTTTGGTGATTATCTTCTGTTTTAATTTTAGAAGGTTGTCATGAAACATTCTCACGCAAATTTTTTTTAAAAATACTGTGAACGTGTGTTTCTCACACACAACCCCAATTTTTTCATTTTATTTTTGTATGAAAACAAAAAAAAAAAGATTCCCAGAACAAACAGGGGYTAAATTATATTTCTGATCATCTAAGGATCCTGTCTGGGTAATTCAAGTTTTATAAATGTATTTACTGCCTTAAATTACTTCAGTTTAACACTTTTTTCTTTGCATGTTACTTTTGGACACTTGTATAGTGCCAAGCATCTTTACCTGGATAAAAAAAACTTTTTTCAGTATTGATGGGTAATGAACAATCAAAGTAAAATATGAAAGTTTAAATATATTTCTTGTCTCCTCTGTAGTACTTTACAAAAAAGACTTTTGTCTTTATCCAGTGCCTTCATCAGCTGATATTTCAGTGCTGGCACAGTTTTAGCCAATCAGTTTCTGTTGATGAATTGTTGTAATGTTATTTTAGGTTCAGAACTGTAATAAAATTCAAGCTCTTCTGAAATTGTGTAATATTTATTTTTCATCTATGAGAAGTATCACACAGTCATATACTGCTCTAGAGCATACATTTAGACTGATGTCAAAATGGAAAGACATCATCAATGACCTTAGAGAAGCAAAAGACTTTTACCTAGTGATAGCCTGGCCCTTGCCTTTCTACGCAGTTCCGCTCAATTCTAGTTTCCCTTCACTGCTCTGTCTGAGATTTCTCCCATAGACAAGGATTTCTCTGGCAGATTTTTAGCTGAACCAATCAGAGAACAGAACGTCGATTTTCTGTGCATTGTCTGCTTGTAGTTTATTTTACCTGGGCCAATCAGGAAACAGAAGGCAGAGTTTTGAATGACGTCGATTTTCTGCGCAGTGTCTGCTAGTTGGTTTAGCATATGGCAGTGGAGGAAGTAAATGAAGCCAGTCCGTGTTGATAAGGCTTCCAAATTAAATTAAATTTGTCTGACAAAGCGGYACATCTCCTTTACAGCTGTCTTGTTCGGCTCGGTACTTCTCTCCTCTCAGTAGGGTTGTTTACAGCACACGCGATTTCCGGGTAGCTTCTTAGCTTAGCCTCCTTCACAGCGACACTTCAGCAGAGGCCACGCCTCCAGCAAGAATTGCTTCTCTATAGCCATGAGTCCAGACCCTTGTATGCAGCAAAGTGAAGGACAAAGGTCTAGTTTTTACCAGGCTAACCTAGTGATGGACTTCAAACAATCTGGAGTCCATCATCACACAGGAAAAAATATTCATATTTGAGACGATGTTTCAGCTAATTCACATAATGTCAGACTGCGCAATGCTCTGAGACACGACAAATAACCCAAGAGCTCCATGTCAGACTCTACACGCCTCTGTTATGGTAATATTTATCTAACAAAGCCAGAAATACGTGGACCAAGAATGAAGGTACTCCGTGGGATGATCAGCTGAGTTTTATTGCAACAACAGGAAACACAGAGAACGTGGCCTATCTCTGTGCCTCTGCTTCTCTCTGTCACTGTCTCTCCACACTACTCCCTACTGTTGAACCCTGTGTCTCGAGAGGCCTCATATATATATATTAACAAACACCATTCTGTCATCTTAGCAAGATATGATACAAGGTCAATGGAAAACAAAGATAAACACAAGCGATATCTAAGAATGACTGTTGTTAGCAGATCTTGTTCTGACTTTAATCATTCTATCTGCTGATGAACAGAATGTCATGAAAACCTAGGTCATTAAAGGATGTCATGAATTACTTGCTTAAACATAAAAATATTAGTTCTATTACACCTCAGTTAGCAGGAACGTTCATGGCAGGACGACTAGAAAAAGACTGAACAAGTCTAGAAGGATTTCTGGGAGAAAATAATTCCTCTCTCAAAACATTATGCAGCAGGACTTCAACTCTTTACCCTCACTGGGGTCCTTGAGGGGTCATGGGAGTTTGTTTTTGGATTTTGACAGTGTTTCTTGAGGTACACTGTGGGGGCGCTCCATGATTGTGGCTCCATTGTTGCAGGATATTCAGTCCCAATACAAGCAGTGCGAGAGTTTGGTTCACATTGCCGGCAGTAAGTCGGACCACTTCAGAGTGGGAGTTGGACTCCATCAGATCTGCCGTTGTCACCGATTCTGTTCATAACTTACATGGACAGAATGTCTTGGCAGAGCCAGKGGGGCAGAAGGAATTTGATTTGGTGGCCTCAGTATTCTGTCTCTGGTATTTGCTGATATGATCCTATTGGCATCATTGTACTGTGATCTTCAGCTCTTACTGGAGCAGTTAGCAGCCAATTGTGAAGCAGCTGTGATGAAGATCAGCACCTCCAAAATGATGGCTATGATCCTCAGTTGGAAAAGGGTAGACTGTCCTCTCTAGGTTGGGGATCGAGCTCTGCCTCAACTGGATGAATTGAAGTATCTCATGATTTTATTTATGAATGAGGAAAGAATGAAGTAYAAGATTGAGAGAAGGATTTGTGCTGCTTCTTAAGTATTGCAGACTGTACCGGTCTGTGAAGAGAGAGCCGAGCTGTTAGGTGAAGCTCTCTGTTTACTTATCAGTCTACGTTCCTTCCCTCACCTATAGTCACAAACTTTGGGTAGTGACTCAAAGAACGAGATTGTGGATACAAGCGGTCAAATGACTTTTCTCTGCAGGGTATCTGGACTCTCCCTTAGAGACGGTGAGAAGTTCAGTTATCCATGGGAGACTCAGAGTAGAGCTGCTKCTCTTCCACATTGAAAGGAAACAGTTGAGGTGATTTGGGCATCTCATCTGGTAAGGATGTCTCCTGAACACATCCCCAGGGATGTTTTCTGGCTATGTCCAGCTGAAAGGAAAACCCAGAACACACCTGAGAGACCATGCCTTCCTGCTGGCCTGGGAACACCTGGGGGTCCTCCCAGAAGTACTGGAAAAGGTGGCTGTGGAAAGAGAGGTTTGGACGTCCCTGCTCAGACTGCTCCCCCTGCAACACAACTCTGGAACAAGCGGAAGATTAAGGATGGATGGATAGATGGATGGATGGATCATGATGCAACAGGGCATTGATCYAAAAACTTGAGTTGCAATGGTTTAAGTCCACACCTCAACCTGAATGAAATATTGTGGTTTATTTATTTATTTTACCATTGTTTAACCAGGTAAATACCATTGAGATCATAGATCTTCTTTGCAAGGGCAGCCTGGGCCCGATGGCAACTTATTGTACATATTTTTGTGCTGTGGGGGAAACCAGAGTACCCGGAGAAAACRCACGCAAACATGAGGAGAACACGCAAACTCCAGTCCAAACCGGGGATCAAACTTGAGACCTTGTTGCTGTGAGCTGTCGGTGCTAACCACTGAGCCATGGTGGTTGGACCTTCAGAGATCTGAGCAGAAACATCTTGTCTGAAAACCTCAATGAACTGAAGCAATATTGTAAAGAAGAGTGGGCTAAAATTATTCCACAACCAGAGACACATGAAGATATACAGAAAATAACAGTTACAATGATGGTGGGCTGGACTTACGTTTTCACACAACTTTCTTATTTTGTCTTTGTTTTGTTTAATAAATAAAAATAAATCAATTATGAGATGGTGGAACCTGTTGTGTGTTTTTGTTCACCTGAGGTTATTCTTTTCCCTAATCTGAGAACCTGATACATTACAGATATATTTACCCTGTCACATTAACTAACAAAGGGTGGACTTCAGGGAGAAAAATATCTTATTTTATTTATGAACAGAATGTTTTAAATAAAAAGAGAAGAATCCAAGCTATTCGGATCTCATTACTAAACATGACAGACACATCTGCCCACTTCCACCAGGGTTAAAAACTAACCAGACACAAAAAACATTCCCAAAACTAAAAGTTACCCCTCCACCCCTCAACTCCAYCAGCACCTCTAATTTCCTCCAGCTGTAGCCTTGCATGCCTTTTTCCCTGGACAGGCCCCACAGAGGTGGGATCAGGGGGCTGTTTGTGTGCCTGTGTTATGTGTGTGTGGGGGGCGGGGTTGTTTTTGGTGACATTTGGGGGCAATTTTAAGACAAAATGCCTACATTTGGGAACAACTGGTGCATTTGGGGACCTAAATCAAGTCCCTGTTTGGTTTAAATGCCATTGGTGGGTTGGGGGTTGGGTCACACCAAGGTGTGAATTGTAGGAATTACTTCGTGAAATTAGGACCAGCCTATTTTTCATAAATGTAATCCAGCAAGAYCTTGCAGAAGGAAATCAGGAAATTATGAAATACCCCTCTGGTCATGAATGTGAAAAGAACTTGTGACCTGAACAGATTTCTCAAAATAAAGTAATTTA